TGATCTGTTCCCAGAACGTTTTCATCATCCCACGATGAAACTCTGTTGATTAAACTGTAATTCCTTCTTTCCCTCATCCCCTAGCTCCTGGTTATCTCTGTTCTACTTTCTGTCTCTCTGAATTTGCTGTCCTTCGCTGGGATCACACAATATCTGTCCTTTTCTGGTGTGCTTATTCACATAGACTGATGTTTCCAAGGTTCATCCATGTGGTAGCACATATTGGAATTTCATTCCTTTTGAAGATTGAATAATCCTCCACTGCATATACATCTGTGTCATTTCAGCATCCATTTGTGAAAGCTTTTGATTTTGATGAGGTCCAATTTATCTATTTTTTTCTTTTTTCTGTTATCAATTTACTGATGTGTTCTTTTGTTGATCGTGATTTTATTATTGTATTTGAGAAGATTTTGTTTGACCTGAGGTCATAAAGATCTGCTATGCTTTCTTCTAAGAGTCTTATAGTTTTAGTTCCTATATTCAGGCCCTTGATGCATTTTGAAGTAATTTTTAGTGTATGGTGTGAGGTAGGACTCGGATTCCGTTCTTTTGCACGTGGCTGTGTGTTTGTGCCAGCCAACCTTTCAGACCTTGGCGGAGAGCACTGTTCTTTCCTTTTCTGTTGTATTATCTTGGTACAATTTCCACTGTATTGGAAATTGGTTGGCCATAGTTATAGAGAATTGTTTCTTGACCCTTAATTCTGTTTCATTGATAACGTATGTAAACCAGTCGGAAGCAGATTGTGTGACCTTGAAGGCAGTGCTGATGGCTGGGTCCTCACAGCCTGGTGGGGAGTTTTGAAATGGGAAGGTGCCTTGTTCCTGTTCCACTTCCAGGGTCCTTTGAGCTTCCGTGTGAATTTTGGAATCTGCTTGTCTGTTTCTCCAAAGGAACAGGAAAAGGAAGCCAGTTGAGGCCTTCTTAGGATCTGTGTTGAGTCTGCGTGTGAAAGGGGCATGGGATTCTTTCATCTGTTTGCTTTTATTACTCAGCATGATTTATTAAAGGTCGACAGGAGAATTCAGGTTGATATATTTAAGTTGACAAATGAGTGGGCTTAATGAAAAGTTGAAAACCTGTTTAAAGCAACAAGGAGAGCCAGCCCTGGGAGCCTGACGCCTGCCTGCCCCTCTTCCCCACAGCCTGCCCATGTTCACGGTGCTCAGGAAGTTCACCATTCCGCTCACCCTGCTCCTGGAGACCCTCGTCCTCGGGTGCGTGACTTCTGTCTTTCCCCCGCTCCTCCCCTGTGTTCCCTGTCCCCTGCAGTATTTTTACCCGGCAGATTCTAGCCATCCAGCCCTCTTTCCAAGTGGCTGACTTAAATTTTTCATTTTACATTAGACAAATAACACATGTTCGTGGTAGAAAATTATAAAGGGAAAATCGATCGCCCTCACACAGTTAGAGGTCCGGGGAGGCAGAGGGCATAGAGAGGGAGGGTGGTCCGTGGAGGACAGGGGGGCGGGATATCGGGGAAACCAGTTCTGATGCAGTGACTGTGATAGAGCATCAGAATAAATTCATTTTTATAACGTTGGTATAAAAGTTTCTCATGAGGATATTCAAGCTGGCATTCAAAAGGGCAATTTTTAATTTTGTTGTGAAGGTTATCTGAATGAAATTTAGTGGATGGTGCAGTGTGTTAAGCCTTAGTATTGCATTTTTATCTTGACCTTCCAATGCTCCATCCACGTCCCTGCAAATGGGGCCTAGCAGCAGGCTCACCCCTGTTTTGTCCCAGCAACTCCCTTGTGACCAGAGATACCAGTTTATAATTAAATTAAGAAAACGGTCTAAGAAATAATTTTGGTCTGAATTATAAACACTTTAGACCTTTTTCTACATGAAGCATTGTCAGATTTGGGGGGTAAATCGCCTAATACCTCGGTTCAGTTTGTTTCAAAAACAGAATCCACACTTACCCCGCCCCCTCCTCTCCTGCTTATTCATTTTCCACAGGAAACAGTACTCGTTGGGCATCGTGGCCAGTGTCTTTGCCATCATCCTGGGGGCTTTCATAGCAGCTGGGTAAGACTCTTTCTTTGTGCCTCTGACAATAGGCCCAGCCCCTCCTCAGTTTTCATTTTCCACCTGGCTGCAGTTGAATTGACGAGCTGGGAGGCAAAGCTGTTGAGGTCAGGGGAACCCCCATGCTGTCCTGTGAGTGCTCCTGTGAGTGTCCCACGGGCTCCCTCAGTGGCCAGAATATTTCTGAGCATGAATACAGCAAGCATCGCCGGACATTAGCATTAGCACAGCCATTTTCTCTTTCACGGAAAAGTAGTAACTACTTAATTTTATTACCAAATGTCTTTAGTTGAAAAATTTTACTTGCACTGTGCTTAGGTATTTGATGAAAAATGATAGATTTGGGTTGGGGGCCGTGTAGCTCGGTGGTCGAGCGTGTGCTTAGCCTGCATGAGGCCCTGGATTCAATTTCCAGCATCAGAAAATCCCAGAACAGATTTATGAAGCCCTTGAGTGTTGTTTTATCATCCTTAGAGGTATCTAAGGGAGAGAGCTGTCACGAAGTGTTTTGGGCTGTGGGCCAACACTGTTGGAGTATGACGACCCCAGGGGTGGAATGCTGTCATTAAAGGTGTTGTACGTTTGGGACACAAGCCAATGGTTATGTTAATTGTTAATATGCAAAAGCAGGAATGAGGAGTCTAAATTTGCATTTGCAAATGTATAGAATACTCAGATTCCTGTCTTTTTTGGAGGGGGCCTGTGGGCACTGGGGATTGAACTCAGGAGCACCTGACCAATGAACCCCCTCAATTCCATCCCCAGCCCTATTTTGTATTTTATTTAGAGACAGGGTCTCACTGAGTTGCTTAGCACCTTGCTTTTGCTGAGGCTGGCTTTGAACTCTTGATCCTCCTGCCTCAGCTTCCCGAGTCACTGGGATTACAGGTGTGAGCCTGGCTTCCTTTCTGTTATAGTATAGTGCCTAATGTATGCCTGCAGTTACATTTCCTGGGTTCTAAGCTGTTTCTCATTTCTCTGGGCATCAGTTTCCTCATGTGCAAAGTAAAGTAAAGCTTTTGTCCACAAGTTCCAAGTGTCACCTCCTCCTCCTACATCTTTTTTTTTTCAAAGCAAGTCTCATGGCCAGAAAAAAATTGAAGTAGAATCTTCTTCAGATGACTCTAAATGACAACAATGAATCTGCTCTGATTATATAGCAAGTAAATCACTCTCACTTCTGTGCACTTAGTACTGGCCTAAATGACTGATCTGTAAGACCCCTGAGACCAGGTCACCCTGCAGGGTGTGGGACATGGCTGTTGGGAACCCCTGGCCCCCCAACATGGGGAGGCTGAGGACTCTGGGAATCTCCTTCAGCCCCTCCAGACCTCTTCTCCCATGCCTCTAGACTCCTGACTTTTCCTCCTTATCCAGCTGTTAACAGAAACACTTTACACAAGTTTAGCTGAGTGTATTGGAGCAAAGGAACAGTCTGGAAATTCTGTAACTCTCAGAGCCAGCGTAGACTCGGAGAGCTCCGTCCAGCAGTGCACCAGGCAGCCTTAGGGATGGAAAACGGAAGTGAGGCACAGAGGCAGCTGGACTGAGCCTTCGCCTTATCCGAGCACGGTCTCAAGAGTTGACTGCCTGCAACAGACTCAAGCCTGGTGGTGGGCTGAGGCTCAGCTGTGTGTTGTCAAAGTTGGGCTTTCAGTCAGTCAGTCTAGGTACTAAGCTAGGTTGTGGTGCATTGTGTGAGGACTCTTCTTTGGAGACGTCCTCAAGCCAAAGTCAGGTTAGTTCCTTTGTGCAGTGCTGGGGATGGACGCGGGGACGCAATGTGCACTAAGCAGGTGCTCCACCACTGAGCTGCGCCCCAGACTCCGTTGGTTTTAACACGACTCTGCTGTGTTGTGGAGCGCAGAGGCTTCTCCGTGATGAGTCAGGCGTGAGTGGGCAAGAGATGTAAAGACCCTTACTTGGAGGAAAATCCCCTCACTGTGATGGAACTGGAGAATTCTGATGTATGATAATAACCTGAAAGCGATTTGCATTCCCACAAAGATATTTGTAGGTGGTAATACCAGTGGAAGTCTCAAGCAAAAATATGATGTAATTGGCATGCAGATTTCCATGCAGTTTTGGCCTCTCTACTGTGTTCCCTTTGGTTGGAGATGATCTTATTTTGATGTTGCGGGGGAGTCCGAATACGCCACCACACAATATGCCACCTTGGGATAAAGGTCATTTTGAGCTAAAGGCAACTGAGAGTCAGCGGAGGCCTCAGAGTCAGGCATAATGTCTCTGTGGAGGTGGCCCCTTCTGCCCCGGAGAGAGGAGGAGGGCAGCTCTTCCCACTGAGGAGAGGGCCCGGGCAGCACGGAAATGAATCCACGCCTCAAATCCCAGCAACCTTTCTCCTCCGTTATTCCCCTTGCATATTTCCTAGTCACTTCCCACAGTTTATCTGTCCCTTGATGTCCAACCCTCTATCCTTTGTTAAAATGTCATGTGAGTCCCCCTGTCAAGCTGTTTCTTTGGGTTTTACTTTTCTGTGAACGCCTGTGCATGTAAAATTCGAATAAGGTCTGTGTTCCTTTTTTCCTGTTGATCTGTCTTTGTCATTTAGTTAGACCAGCTGGCTGTGGTGGCCACACCTCTAGGAGACTGAGGCAGGAGGATTGCTTGAGGTTAGGAGTGGGAGGCTAGCTGGGCAACTTAGTGAAATCCTGTCAATCCATTCATCCATCGGCCATGGCCATCCATCCATACATATGTTAATTCCCACATTCATATATTCATTCATTCACAGGCCCCCAGGTACTGAACCTAACAGGATAGAGGGAAAGTTTATCTTCCCTGGAAGTTGATAGTTGTGAATTCTGACAAGGGTCTGGTATTGTCTATAAGGATGAAGTGCAAGTGTGTGAATCCCATCATATATCAATTACTGTTCTCTAACACCTATGTCATATCCCCCAAACATTTTTATATTGGCATTAATTTTTTTTTTAAAAAAAGATTGTTTCAAAAACCACAGGAATAGGATGGCTTGGGAAGAGTGTCTTGGGAAGAGAGGTGTCTGCCTTGCCCTTTAGATGGACTGGGCACTGTTTGGCAGCAAATGGAGGTACCACGTCCTCATTGGGCCCTTTTACCCAGTCCCTCCCCTGCTGTCCCACAAGGGCTGCACCCGGGGGATGGCCCTGTTCACAGCAATAAGCAAAGCCATTGGTGGGTCTCCCCTTAGGAGAGTCAGGGTTCCCTGTTATCACGCTGACTTCCAGAGAGCAAGACAGGGCTTGCAGGGGGATGGGTACAGTCCCTGGGTCGTAAGCTCTGTGTAATTAAGTTGAAGCCACCCGATTGGCTGGTTTTCTTTTTGTCTGGTGGCAAAATTAACCTTTCTCCAGCAGAGAAGGGAAAATATGCCGTATAAGTGTTGCTAGGTTGTTACTGGCGTTGGATGTGGATTTGATTAGGAAAAGCAGGCAGGCTTTGAGGCCAAGGGAGGAGGAGTTCCTGAATAACCCCCCTGGTCTTTTGTTCTCCTCCCAGGTCTGACCTTGCTTTTAACCTGGAAGGCTACGTCATTGTATTCCTAAATGATATCTTCACGGCAGCAAATGGAGTCTATACCAAGCAGAAAATGGACCCAAAGGTACCGGGTCTTCCCTCCTGTGGCTTTAGGCTTTACCATCTGCCCCCAAGAAGATGCGAAAAATGGAAATGGATTTCTACAGTTGGCACATAGTTTATGTAACCCGATTGCTCAATCACTCATTTCATCCTAATTATCTTATCTGTGTATGTTCTTGTTACTCTTAGTCTTGGAAAATTTGGGGTGAAAATTGGATAGGAGGGGAGAAGTTGTCACAGTCCCAATGTACAGACAACAGCAGAGCACATCGTGGCTCCGTCAGCTCGGTCATCAGTGACCACGGCAAAGTCCGGGGCGGGACACTTGTTTGGAGAGTGTGGAGTCTGCGGGTGGGACAGACCCCGGCTCTCCCTGGCCATGGTGACTTTGAACCTCAGCTTCTCCAGCCTCAGTTTCCTCACCCATGACACGAGTAGCCTGGAAAGGATCCTGGTGGTCCTCCAGCAGGACCTGCCTCCTCCGATCCCCAGGGGCCGGCCGGGAGCTCTCTGGCCTGGGTCTGCCCCAGTGGGGGCCCCAGCTGTTCCAGGAAGCTGTGGAGGATGAGCCGGCCATATGGCTCTTTGTTCCTGGTTCTTTGTGTAGAAGGAGGGAGTTCTCCTTAACAGGCCTTTTTTTTTTTAATCTGTATGGCCATTTGTTTCTTTTATTGGTGGCGGTTTTACAAAAACATGTTTGTTGCCTTTTGAAAACCCACAATAGGTCAGCCTTGTTTGGTGGAGAGGTGGTGTGGCCTCTCCTGTGGAAGGAGGGCTCTTCTTCAGTGCAGACGGCAGATGTTTTACAGGAGTTGTTTATGTTAACAGTTTTCATCTCCTTTACTGAGTTCCAGATTTCTTTAAAACAAAAAGAAAAGCTCACATAGTCAGAATGTCCAAGGGGGTGGAAACTTGGCCTCCTTTTCATTTCATCCATTTTGTCTGTAGTTTTTGGTGTAAAATAAATATTTATTCTGAAACCAAAATACAATTGAAATGAAGCATTTTCTGTTGGGAATTTGTTATAAAATATTCCAGTAGAGAGTCGGTGAGAATACATGTTCTAACGTTGTGTAGATTCGTAGTTGAATAAATAGCTCCAGGAAATTTAATGCTTGTATTCTGAAATTCAGTGGGGTTTTCTTTGTTTTTGTAGGAACTAGGGAAATATGGGGTGCTTTTCTATAATGCCTGCTTCATGATCATTCCAACTCTTATTATTAGTGTCTCCACCGGAGACCTTCAGCAGGTAAGTGGATAAAATGGTCAATACAACTTTCCTTAGCCATCTTTTAAAATTTCAATATTTAACATTTGGTACTCACTGAAATAAAATGCATACATGTATATCTTATATATAGTATATAGGATCACACACACACACACACACACACCTCAGATCCCTATGTATATAGAATTACCAGGAAGGTACATAAATGTTATGTCTGGGAGCTGGGCATGGTGTCATGTACCCTGGTCCCAGATACTCTGGAGGCTGAGGTGGGAAGAATGGTTCAAGACCAGCCTGGGCAACAGAATGAGACTCCATTTCAAAAAGAAAATCAAAAGCTATTTGAGGGCTGTGGTTGTAGCTCAGTGGTAGGCACTGGGTTCCCTCCTCAGCACCACATTGAAAAAGGAAAAGGTGTTTGATGTGCCTGGTATTTAACACCCTTAGACACACGGAGGCAGCAGGATCTTGTTGACAAGAACTCAGGACTTGCAAATTTTTGGAAAACAACAATCAAAATCTGAGTCCCAGTCCCACTGTCCTTCTTTGTTGATGTGGGGACCCTGGGAAAATTACTTCCTTGGGAAAGAAATTTTGATCGTTTAAAAATGGGTTTCTTTGTTATTTTTATGGTAGACATTTTGAAACATTTGCAAAGTAGGGAGAATAATTCCATGAACTGTCCACTCTCGGTCCCCAGCTTCTTGGCATTTCGCTGTGCTGATTTTATCTGTTCCCATCCAGCCTCACCTCTTCCCGCTTCTGCAGTATTTAAAAAGAGACCCAGACATCGTACCATTTTTACACCTAGATATTCCAGGGTCTACCTTTGACTGTTGAAAAGGTATTATTCTTTCTGAATTTGCCCTGCTTAACTTAGGCAATGCTTGTTCATGAAAGACAGATAAGATGGTCAATCAGGCCCAATATTTCTGTCTACTCTCAAATGTAAAGCTTCCCGAGTGCCCAGTGCGACATCACGAGTGGAAAATTCCACACCTGAATCGTTTGTGGTGGGTCACAGTAAAAATGTAGGCACACTAAAAATAATGAATAAAATTACCTTCAGGCTACATGTGATCACGGTATATATAAAACACATGTGAATTTCATGTTCAGACCTGGCTTCCATTCCCAAGATGTCTTATTATTTTTTTCACCCATTACATATTTAAAAAAAAAAAAAGAAATCTGAAGCACTTCTGGTCCCAAGCATTGCAGATGAGGTACACTCAGCCAGCCTTAAGGTCAGGCCCAGTGGGAGGGAGAGGAGGACAGGTCTGCCAGGGAATGACCACTCCCCATGTTGAGGTTCATCATGACGGCTTCCAGGCATACACACCCCGACTCCTCTAAGCTGCAAGCCCCGCAGCTTCTATGATTTTTTTTTTTTTTTGGTACTAGGGAATGAACCCAGGGTTGTTTAACCACTGAGCCACATCCCAGCCTTTTTATAGTTTATTTGGAAACAGGGTCTTGTTGAGTTGCTCAGGACCTCGCCGAGTTGCTGAGGCTGGCTCTGAACCTGTGATCCTCGTGCCTCAGCCTCCCAGGCCTGCTGCTGGGATTACAGGCGTGCACCACCGTGCTTGGGCAGCTTCTATGAATTTTGCCTGTATTGAGAGGTGATGTTCAAGTTCATGTAGGAAATGAGGGGTGAGGGGAAAAAATCCCATTAGGTTGCCTCTGCTCGCTGTCCCCCTTCTGGCCAGGTGTTAACCCTCCCTTTGCTGGACTGGGTGGCTGGTTCAGAGGGCTTCTAGAGGACAGTTCTTCTATTGTAACAATGAGCACAGTCATTGAAGTTGATCGTATTTGCAGCCCTTTCAGGCTCTGAAGGATTTTGGGCTGCAGGACTTCTGGGGTAGACGGCCGGGCTCATTGCTCTTCCTTCAGCTACACAGTTCTTCCCCAGAAGCTGGAAGCTACAGAAGGGCCCAGTAGCCAAATCCCCAGGGGTGAACAGCCATGTGCATGCATTTATATCAAAACCTGCCAACAGGCATCAGTTTTGATAAAGAGCTCTCTGTTTCAGGTTAGTAGGGACACTGTGTGAACCCGGGACTCACTGTGAGTTCAGTGTTGGAAGACGGAGCTTGCTTCTCCCCCCTAGCACCTCTCCAGCAGACGCAATGTCTGAAAACACGATATTTATTTTTTACCCGTCATCAGTCCATTTTAAACCAAGTTGGTGTCATCGACCTTACACAAAATTATGAGTCTCAACAAAGTGGCCCTAGTGGTGTGTCTGTTTCATTATTATAGAATAGAAATGAGTTTTCCTGTTGAATCACTGGAATTTATCTGTTCTGGAATTCTTGTAGCTGTTTCAGAGATATATTTAATTCTAGGAATGAAAATGTACAAACTTGAGTTGGGGATATGGCTCAGTGGTAAAAGGCTTACCTGGGTTTGATCCTTTGCATGGGGGAAAAAAGTTTAGAAATTCTTACACACTCCTAGAATGCCTACTTGGGACTAAGAGCATATTTTCCTGTAGGAGCACTATGATGAGTGACAAAAGAAATATTGGGAATTTATGGGTAAAACGGCCTGGGAATACAGCTTATAATACCACTTCTGTATGAACATGTAATCCCACATCCAAATCATTGACTTCTAAACTTGTAGCCTGGGGTTTTCAGAAGCTGCCACAGGCTTGCAATGATTGTGTGCCATTCTCCTATTTTCTTGTGTGATAGTTAATATTTATTGAGGAACTGTTATATCAATGTGTTTCAAAGCATCATTCATGAACTATCTCATGACATTCCTAGAACCATCCTGGGGAGAGAAAGTACTGCTGTCAATCCCATTTTATAGCAAGGAATTTAGGGCTTAGTGTTTAAGAAACTTCCAAGAACCGCAGGCGATAGATCCAGGCCCTCTGGCCCTAGAAACACATTCTTTGCTGTATGTAATGGCAGTTATTTTGTTTGGATAGATAAACTGTTCATGTTTCTTTCCTTCACATGTAAAAACTATAATAACCCTTGTATCTTATAGAGTGCAAGAGGCCTAACATATTCAAATAGTCTTTGTCTTTTATTTGTCATTAAATTCGAGTCATTAATTGATTTTGAGATGAGGTCTTGCTGTGTTGCCCAGACTGGTCTCAGACTCCTGGGCTCAAATGACCCTCCTGCTTCATCTTCCCGAGAAGCTGGGACTTCAGGTGTGGGCCTCCGTACCCGACTAGTCCCCGTCTAAATACGGTTTGATTTTTGTACTTGGCAATAATGTAAAATGAGGCTCATTCAGGAGGAGCCATACTTCATTTTATGTTTTGTTCTTCTGTGCGAGCGCTGGTGTGGTATGAACCTCTGTCCAGATGCCACGGCTGCCAGTCAGCCACACACGTGATCACACACACAGATCAGGGTTTGCTCAGATGATATCGCCCAGCTGTGGGCTTCATGTAAGTGCAGGTAGGCCAGGCTCAGCTCTGATTTTCAGTAGGTTGGTGTATTAGTGCATTTTTGCCTTATGACATATTCAACTGATGGTGGGTTGGTTGGAAAGTAGCCCTATGGGTAAGTCAAGGAGCATCTGAAATTTGTTAAATTCTGACATTCAGGAAGAATATTCTCCTTCTATTCTTTCTTGTGTTGGAAAACCCCAGTATTGACCCCATCTTTCCTCTTCCCTTTGACAGACTCTGAAGATTTCAAACAGAACTTCCCTTACCTACCTTAGTGCTTAGTTTTTACTAAAATTTCAAATGGATCAAAGAGTTCAATTTATAAGCTTACTATTAATAAACATTGTAAGAGAAATGGAAGACATTTATAACCAGAAGAGAAGCTCAGTGGTAGAGTGCTTGCCTCTATCCTTAGAACTACATAAAAATAAATAATAAAAATAAAGGCATTGTGTTCATCTACAACTAAAATCGAGGGGGGGGTTCTCTAAAATGACAAATATTTTTAAACTTTTAATTCATGTACAAAGTTAAAGTAAAAAATGTGACTATTTTAATTTTAAAATATCTGATAAGATATTTTATTTAATTTTAAAATATCTGATAAGAGATGCTGGAAGATGCAGGATATGTACTATAATCAGGATGCAAAAACATGAGCAACTTTGTAGAAGAGCATGGTGAGTGCTCTTTGTTGAATCAGGTAAAGCTTGGGAATTTGTGAGCATCTGGGAGCCTACAATAGGAAGCTCCTCCTTCTTGGCCACGTCTGGGTTAACTGTACTGAGAGCTGAAGGATGGGCTAGAACAAAGGTTCACTCTTCTTTTTAATGATAGGAAAAATTGGTTGAGTCATTTTTCCTGGTGGACTGGGAGCAGGAAAGAGGGAGAAGGAGAGGTAGTGGCAAACTTGCTGGTGACTCACCACCCTGGCAATTCAGACAGGACTCTGGATTCACATCCTTGGCAGCTCTTTTAACAGCACCTTGGTTTCACCTCTGAACAGTGAGGTCGGACATGACAGCTCCTCTTGTTGACATATCAGGCCCTTGGAAAATACTCAGTGGGTGAACTTTGCTTAGCCTGGAATCCCTGCAGTAGGTCCCAAGTACATCTAGTGTATTGTAGTTGATGAATGAGGGTGAAAATATAAAAAACCCCCAAGTGCACCATGAAGAAGATGGTTCCTCCTGAATGAGCCTCCCTTTCACATCATTGCAAAGTACAAAAATCAAACCACATTAAGACAGGGACGAGCCGGGTACGGAGGCCCACACTTGGAGTCCCAGCTTCTCGGGAGGCTGAAGCAGGAGGGTCATTTGAGCCCAGGAGTCTGAGACCAGTCTGGGTAACACAGCAAGACCTCATCTCAAAATTAATTAATGACTTGAATTTAATGAAAAATAAAAGACAAAGACTATTTGAATATGTTAGGCCTCTTGCACTCTATAAGATATAAGGGTTATTGTAGTTTTTACATGTGAAGGAAATACTCCAACATACTTGGACTGCAACTGTAAGTCTAAAGGAAGAACTACTTTATTATTACTCACCTTTAATTATTTCCTGTTTTATTATGCTAGATTATTTCTCAAAATGCCACTAGTACGGCATTATTATGATGATGATGTTATTTTTGTGTACTGGGCATTGAACCCAGGGCTTCATGGGTGCTAGACATGTGTTGTACCATGGACCTACTTTCCCAGTCCTTTATTTACTTACTTTTGTGATGCCGGAGATCAAACCCAGGGCCTCAGCCGGGCCTGGTGGTGCACACCTTTAGTCCTAGCAGCTCGGGAGGATTGCAAGTTCAAAGCTAGCCTCAGCAACTTAGGTACTAAAACAACTTAGTGAGACCCTGTCTCAAAATAAAATTCAAAAAGTGCTGGGGTGTTGCTCAGTGGTTAAGGCTCATGGGTTTAATCCCTGTTACCAAAACAAAAACAACAACCCCAAACCCCCAGGGCCTCATGCATGCTAGGCAAGCACCCTACCAGTGAGCCGCATCCCCAGCCCCTTATTTTTATTTTCTTTTGAGACAGGATCTTGTTAAGTTGCCCAGGCTGGCCTTGAATTTATTATCCTCCTGCCTTAGCCTCCCAAGTAGCTGGGATTAAAGGCATGTGCCTCCCTGCCCAGTCAGCCTCGTTATAACTAAAGAAGCAATGCTGGGGCTGGGGCTGGGGCTCAGTGGTGGAGCACTTGCTTAGCAAGTATGAGGCATTGGGTTTGATTCTCAGCATCACATATAAATAAGTAAATAAAGGTCCATCAGCAACTAATAAAAAATATATTTTTTTTAAAAAAGAAACAAAGCTAAAATTTGTAAAAACTAAATTGGGTGAAGAGTCAATGTACCTAGCGCTTCACCCATCTAAGCACTAACTTTACCACTGAGCTACACCCAGGCTCCCAAAGTATGCATTAAAAAGTTTTGTTTTTTAATGATGGAAACTTTGAAGCACATATAGACGCATAGAGTATAATAAACAAACCCCATGTGCCCATCCCCTGTTTCAACAATTATCAACGTTTAATGTCTATCTTTTCTTTTTGTTTTTATTAAAACATCTTTATGGTGCATTATAATTGAACATGATCGAGATTTCTTGTTACGTATTCCTACAGGCACACAGTACAACAATGTAACTTGGCTAATTCTCTCCCCAGTATTTTCTCTCTCCTTTGTTCCCTCCTTCCTCTAGTTCCCTTACTCCATTCTACTGGTCTCTTCTTCTTCTTTTTTTTTTTTTATGAGATCCCTCCTTTTCTACCCTTTTTCTACCTAGCTTCCACATAGGACCCTTGACTTTCTGAGTTTTTGTGTATCTTTTTGATAGGAGACGGGGCAGAGTATTACTAATGAGTCAGTGTCAGCAAAGTGTGGAAGGCTGTATGAATTGGAGGAGAGAATTCCCTTTTAATTGTTTAAAAATTTGAATAACAATTTGAAAACCTATTTAAATAGTTTTAAATGATTCAGTTGCTAAAACTTGGCTAGCAAAGTATTGCTTAGTAGAAAGAGAATAGAACTTTGATCTAAGCATGTTATTGAGCACATTGCTTAAGTGGTCTTGAGTCGCCTTAAAATCAGTTTTGAGCCGGATGCAGTGGCCCATCTCAGTGTCGTGGGAGGCTGATGCAGGAGGATCACAAGTTCAAAGCCAGCCTCAGCAAATTTGGGAAGTCCTGAGCAACTTAGCAAGACCCTGCCTCAAAATAAAAATGAAAGGGG